TTCCACATGTTAACCAAGATATCAGAGAGAAGTATCTAAACAAAATGGTTGAGCAAAATAAATCTACTGATTTGTTTTACAGAAGCAGATTTATGATAGTGATTCAAGTCTACATCATCTCCATCATCAACAACAGAAAGGGGCTATCATTAAGGAACACAAACTTAATTTAGATTATGGCAGGAAACAGCAAGCCTGGAAGAATTTCACTTTTGTAGGTTGCAAAAATTTAGCAACATGTATGAAAAATAAAGAGACCTAGAAAAAGAAATCAAAACCATCCAAGAACAATCAGGATTCTCTTTCATAAAATATCTGAACACACAGCCACATACTACAATTATAAGCCTCAAAATATCATTGAGGACTCAATACACTGTACCAGATCTTAGACAAAATCGTTGCCCACAATCTGTTTGACATAACATGAATAAATTCGTAAGTTTTTTTAATGGTTGTTGCCATAACCAATTGATATGATCTTAATATTATTTGGGATAAAAAACTTTCAAAATACAAAGACCTAGAAGAATGGCTACACAGGACCAAGATGAGGTATATGTCAATCTCCAAATCTTGTCCTAGTTTGGCAGCTGATCCAAATATTCTTTCAGTGAATTTAAAAAAATGAACTTAAATCAATTTTTAAAAAAAAATTCAAATAAAAAAGCATTTCATCTACCTATGCAATATCACACATATTATTTAAAAAAAACAAACCTCTAGAAAGACAGTGCCTTTTCTCAGGAACTTTTTTTATCTTAACTCCAATGAAGATGAAATGACAATAAAACAACATTTACTAATCTATGACTTTCAATTTTATGTATCTGTTGAATGGATTTTAAGAAGTGAAGCATCTTGGAAGAGGCTGAATAGTCCAACTGTTATGAATATTAAAACTTATAAATTACCCCACCTGTTATGAATCTGCTTTAAATTTTATTTCTAAGGGTTCTTAACTTATGCAATTTTGTGGATGGCTGAGCTATGACTCAGTTCTCAGTCACAAAGACCAAGGAATTTCCATGGCTATCTAGTCTAATGACACATAATCTACATCATATCCAACAAGTTGTCATTCAGCCTTTGTCTTAATAACTACAATTAGAGAGAAACCATTTCTTACTGAAGCAGCTAGTGGCAAAATGAATAAAATTCTGGGCCTGGAGTCAAGACTTAAGTTCAAACCTGGCATCAGACACTTAACTATGTGACCCTGGGCAAATCACTTAACCTGATTTTCTCAGTTTCCCCAACTGTAGAATGATAATAGCAGCACATATCTCGCAGAGTTGTGAGGATCAAGTGAAGTAATTGTAAAGTACTTGGCACAGTGGCACATAGTAGGCTCTATATAAATGCTTATTCCCTCCCCTTCCCCAACTGAGGGAACTCATTCTATTTGCAGAACTTGTAGGATTGTTATTCAAAGTTTTACAACCCTAATTCAACTATACCATTAAAATAATATAGACTAAAAGAAGCACTATGGTGTTATGGATTTTCCACAAGCATCAGATTTGGAATCACATGACTTTAGATTCAGACCTTGGCTCTGCAATATTACTTAGTGACTTTGGACAAGTCATTTGTCTCTCTAGGCCGCAGGCACAGTGGATATAGCACTAAAGTCAGGAGTACCTTTTTTCTACTCAAGCCTCAGACATTTACAAGTCATACTACCCTAAGCAAGTCATTTAACCTGCTTGCCTCAGTTTCTTCAATTGTAAAATGGGAGTAATAAGCACCTACCTCGAAGAGTTGTTGTGAGAATGTAATGAGAAAATATTTATAAAATGCTTGGCATAGTGGCACATAGTAGACTCTATATAAATGCTTATTACCTTTCCCTTCCCTCTTAATCTCTAATGTCTATGCTAAGTATATACTCATTAATAACAATTAAAGATTTAAAATTCTCAATATTTTCCAAAAGTTCATTCATCAATTGGTTGACACTCAAAATTCATATAAATAAATTTTATGTTCCTAGAAAAGTCTACAAAATACTATAACGATGATGATGCTGATAATACTTTAAGGTTTACTAAGTATTTTGTATACAATGTCATATTTAAAGTTTATCATTGGTAAAATTAAATTGCAGTAATAGGATTTTCAAAACTAGACACCAAGTATAATGTGATACTTATAAGAGAAAATTAATTGAATTCCATCTTAGAATGCCAGAAACTTCTCCCTAAAAAGTGACTCTTTTCCTAATCTTTCCAACTTGTGAAACAGTGAAGTGAATCTTGTCTAGCTCTAGGATACCAGAGTAACTTTCATAGTTTGGAACAACAGTTCCCAAAAGCATAGGGGTCAGACAAGAGGACAAATGGTTAAGATGAAAGCTGTGGGACTGGTGCCTGCTACTAGCACAAAATCCTTGAGCACATTTCTCAATTCCAGCCAGCTCCCTATCACCTTCTTATTGTCTGTATCCCCAAGGAATTCTAGAACCTGCTTTACCTTTCAGGTGTCATCAACTGCTACTTCCCCAAAACAGTCTCCTCTCCTTGCTCACAATTAAAAAAAATGTTCATAGCTTTCTATCCGTATCTTTCTATCTTTGAAAAACTATTCATACAGAACAAAAAATGATTAGAATACCTGACTTCTGAAGCTATCGTTCTTTTCTCTATGAAAACTCAACTCAAGGAAGAATAAACTCCCTGACCCTATTTCCTTAATATATCCTCACTCTTCAATGACAGGCAACTGAGCTTCTAGAAATCCAGTAACATCTAATGAAACCACTTTCTTCAATGTTATAATTTCCTTATATGCCAAGTAACAGGATCATAGATTTAGAGCTGAAATAGACATTAGAGATCATCTAGTCCAATCCCCCCATAAGATGAGGAACTGGGTCCCACAGAAGACAAGTGCCTTGCGTACTATCACAAAGAAAGTAACAAAGGTGGGATTCAAACCCAGACTCTAAATTCAGTGCTTTTTTTAGTGGCACAACAACTACACCGCCTCACCAATCAATGTCTCTTTTCATTCTTCATTCTTATTTTACTTGTAGCATTTTACCACCTCCTCCTTGACTCTTTCTAACAGATTTCATGACACTAATTTCACATCTCAAAATCTCAGAGTTGGAAGATACAACCTCAGAGGTTATATTCCAAAAATGTATGAACTGTACTGTATGTGGTATAAGCAGTGAAGGAGAGTTTAGATGGTTGAATAACTTAATAGGGAGAAACCTTAATACAATCTTTGACTGTCTCATTAAGATGTAGTAATTCATACAAAGATTCCCTTTTTAATTAAGAAGAGTTGTGACAAGTTACATTTTTATATATTGAATGTAACATGATCAATTTCCACAACCTTAAATTTGTTAAGTTTAAAGTGGGAATGTGCTAGAAAAAATTTTTTCACAGGCTTCCTTATCTTTTAGTTCCCACATCTGCAACTAGGGTTTCTCAAAAATTACTTTAATTCTTCTCACCTCAAATATTGAATGGTTCTAGTACCTCTACTTCATAGCTTACACAACTATACAGAGCTAATTTGTCTCTTTTACCATGATTTATAGAACAAAAGGCTAAAATTTTGAGCACAATTAAACCGGTCTTAGTATCACAAGTGCCTTATAAAAATAATAACTGCAGCTAGATTTTACATAATACTATGTGCCAGGTACTGCATTAAGACCTTTACAAATATGTCATTTGAGCCTTACAACAACCCTAAATAAGAAAATGAAGGCAAACAGAGGTTAAGTGATTTGCCCACAGTCATGTAGCTAGAAAGTATCTGAGGATAAATTTGAATTCAAGCCTTCCTGACTCTAGGCCCAGTACACTATAAATTGAACCATCTAACTCCCCACAAAAACAGCTGAATTAATATTAAAAATATTAAAATTTCATTAAAATTCACAAGCTCGTATTTCCACAAAAAACTCTTTAAAAATTCTTAAAACATATATTCTTTGAAGAAATATCTGCTATTCTGTCATTGTAGGGATTACGTCAAAGAACAAATGTTTTAAAATGTTTTTATATCCTTTCACGTGAACTAAGTTTGAAATACTTTTATATTCCTTCACATACATTAAATACATTTGATGACCAAATTGTACCATTTTTAAGCTTAGAAATTCTTAAATTGGCTAATGATTACTTCTAAGGGTTATTTTAAGGCAGATTGTCCAAATTTTTTATTTTTAGGCAATTGGGGTTAAGTGACTTGCCCAGGGTCACACAGTTAGTGTCAAGTGTTTGGTCTGAGGATTGATTTGAACTCAGGTGCTCCTGATTTCAGGGCCGGTGCTCTATCCACAGATTGTTCAAATTTTTAACCACAAATTTTGTGCCTATTCAAAGTCTTCTTGAAAAGAAGTCTGTGAATTTCTGGATTAATCCAAAAGTCATATACCATCTTCACACTTAAATATGTTCACAAATCAATATTTGATCATCTGCACTGGGAAAAGATTTATTTGCTTTGCAGTTCAGTGATATAGTTTGTAGTGATTTCTTAAGAACTTACATATTGCACATTCAAGCATTCACAAACAAAATCAACTCCTTACAAGAAAAAAAAACATTTTACCACCTTTCCATTCCATCTTTCTTTAGACAAAAAATTTGCCTAAATGTAAGAAAAAAAAACTTCCTATCTACAAAACTGAAAGGGTGGCAAGACAGAATTAGGAACTAAGCAAGACAAAAAGATTTTTTTTCCCAACTATTCCTAATTAATTGTAAATCATTTCTTCAAAATGTGTCTTCCTTATTTGGTATGACATAAATGTCTAAAACAAACATGTAGCCGAAAGAAAGAAAAATGAAATTAAAAAGTTAAATCAAAAAATCTCTTTATTAACTGCCATTTCAAACCATCCACATTTCTACTCCCCAAAGTTCATATAAATATATTTGAGGCATAGTGGTGTTAAGCTTCTCAATAGTGTTATCTCCCTACAACAAGAAGTCAAACCGAGAAGATGATGCAATAGACAAGTTGCTACTTACATCGGGGTATTCTTTTACAGGCACGTAGAGTTTCTCTTGTAACTGAACAATAGGTCCCACAGCATCAGGGAGCTCTGCACTCCTTTTCTCTGTACTCCCATTTAAAGTGTCATTATACATGTCTTTTCGTACTCTGCTAATTTCTGTTAAGGGTAAAAAAAAAAAAAAAAAAAATTTATCAGCTACCAGAATATTTGCTAGTACAAGAAAAATGTATTTTTAATTTTTTAAATGAATTTAATCATTGTCAACAATACAACCAATGCAGCATAAAGACTTCTTTAAGGATAATATATCAACTTGTTATGTATAATTTGTATTTTTTATTAAAAATATTAAATTTCACAAGGTAGTAATAAAAATCATGCTGTTAGCAGTTGCCTTCTGAACTTTTTTTCCTCTTTTTTTGTCCTTCTTTACTTACTCACTAATTCACCCTTCCTCTTCCCACCCCATAGATGCTTCCTTTTAATAAACAAATCCAATCAAGTAAAACCAATCAACACATAGGACAAGTCTGGAAAGGCTGCTCTCATTCCGCACCTCAAGTACTGATATAGGCTTCCACTAACAGTCTTCCTCTTCTTTAGTCTTTCAGAGTTGTTAGAATGTAAAAATTATTGACAATACCTGACCTCAGCAAAATTTCAACAAATAGAGTAGCCTTTTGGGAAATCAGAAATTAAGCCAATCAGCTGGTGAGGAGGGGTGGGGAGGGTTTATCTTATTCAATAGCACCATACTCAGAACATGTTTTAAATGGAATAACAATATCAAGTTTGTATAGGCAAAACTAGTAATAAATTGTTTTAATAAGACCCTTGAGATCCATGCAATGGGGACAGGATTATAAATGAGTCTACCTCATTACAAGGCCCTTATGGTACTTCTATAACTAAATCAGTTTATGTGATATCGAAGTTGGTTCTGTTTTGTGAAATTCTATCATACAGGTATGAGTGAGTGTGTGTGCAATGGGGTGAGCACAAAGAAATCCATTTAGTGAATATCTTCAAGAGTAGTTCTGTATGAAATTATTATCTACACATCCCAGAATAGAGAAGGACAGCATATGTAGAAATAACACTGGATTACAAATTAGAATACCTGGGTACCAGTCATTTCTACTTTACTACTTTAAGCAAATAATTCACCTCCCTTGGCCTTAGTTTTCTAATCTAGCAAAGGTAAAACTTAAGTTAAATGATCTGTTTCCAGATCTCATAAAAACACTACTTGATTAATCTAGTTATTCAACAAATTAAAAATTATAAGATAAAATAGTCCCTTCCCAAATCCTTCCCAAAGAAGATACTAGGAGAAACCAATCAGAGACAGGGGTCAGAAGGGTACTTTCAGTTAAAGAAGCCCAGGGAGTAAAGGGAGCTTCCAGGGTGAAAAGAACTTCTAACATGAAGGTTAAATCTAGTCAGGAGTACAACCTTGGAGACAAAAGTGAACTCTGACTTGCCCTTAGACACAACCACAACCCCTTTCTTTTCAAGTTTCACATTCCCCCAAACTTAGGGAAATCAGTCTTTTCATACTCAGACTTCTCTCATCCTGGTTTCCCAATAAGATTCCTTTTGGCTTCACTTGCCTCCCCTATCTAGCCTGAGGATGTTAACATTATAAAGGCTTCTCAACCCTCTACTACGCAAATCTATACTCCATCAATCAGTAACACCAGGTAACCCCTACCATCTATTTGCCTCACTCTCAGACCTTATTAGAGAAAGTCAGAAGATGATGCAGACAGTGATAAAAATTCGTAACATCTAATCTTGTCTGAGTCTTTAACGTTGATTGTCTATCCTTTTATTTTACTGTTATTTCTGTATATTACATACATGATTGTCCCAAAACTTCTCCACATTCATAAAGACTTCACATTAAATCTCAACAGGGAGTACCAACTCTTCTTGGATTAAGATCAAGGCCATCCAATTCAAATTCTCAAACTGCACTCCACATAAAATCATCTGCTGCTGTCTTTTAAAAAATCCATCCATTTTACAATCAAGGAAATTGAGGCAGATAGAGGTTAAGTGACTTGGCTAAGGTTACACAACTAAGAATTGTCTAAATCAGCATCTGAATTCAAGTCTGTCTTTCTCCAGGTTCAGTACTCTATCCACTAAACCACCTAGCTCCAATTCCTTTTGTCTATAGTTGGCAAGGCATAAGGTAAAGTAGGGGTAAAAAAGCTGGATCCAAAACGTAAATCTGGGTGCCAATGATGCAAAAGACAATTTACCTCTGTGGGTCTCAGTTTCCTCATATAAAAATTTAGGTATAATAAAACCTATACTGGTTAGTGCACATGGTTTTATTAACAATAGAACTGTGTACCTGAGAGAGACAGAGAGAGAGAGAGAAAAGCAAGGTAAAGAAACAATGGTATTCATTACCCAATGTATGGATTTATGCGAGAACAGACATAAGTTTAATCATTCACCAAATTTATTGAACAACTACTATGTAATCAGAGATTAGATGATGTAAGGATAACAAAATAAAGATAAAGCTCCCCCTCAAAGAGCATTATGTTCTAGTGACTCTGAATCATGGCATATCAGTCTATCAGAACTTTTCATTTTAATACCTGAATATTTTCAGTATACTTTGTTCTATCAACTCATAACTATCAACTCTTCTACTTCTTAGTATATAAATTCCTTTGAAAGATTATGTCTCCAAAAAATGCATCCACTGGGCATACCGTCCATAATAAAGCCTGTACTGAAAGCCTCTTCTCAACAGCTTGGTAGGACCTGGCAGAGAACTGTTTTGGCCTTTGAGAACAAGATGATTTCCACACTATGAAGAATCAGGATCTAAAAAACATATGAATGAGAACAGCCAAAGCTTCCCCCATTCCCGATCTGGACACATATGGTTTATAATCTTCAATCAAGGTGGTATCACAATCTATTATTTTACCCCAGAGGATGGCAAGCTCTATGCTCATTATCCCTCAGCTCACATAGCAGAAGCAATTGACAAACCCTTGTCATTTCAATCTCCACATTCTTCAGAGTCTTCCTCACACAGACACCACTTTAATTCAGTTCTTCATCATAGCTCTCCTGTCTTCCTATTTTATCTCCCCTGCCTCAGTCTTTTCATAACTAATCAATCCATTCCAGTCTGAATCCCACAAAGGAATAACCAGGGCAGGAATCACAAACCAAAGGGAAGCCTATATATTTGTCACATTTAACCAACAGAACTTTCCAGATGGCTCCAAGTGCCAAGTGCAACTGTAGTCTACTGAAACAGGTACACAGGGATGGTGCTGCATAGATCCAAGCCCAGGTTAGGGTTCAAATCATAAGAGCAACAATCAAACTTTGCCCTGATTCACACCACTTTGGGAGCACTAAAAGTTTACAAGTCACCAGTTTGAGCTGTCCCTTAGATATGGAAAGAATACATCCCTGAATAGCTCCAAAAAACAACAGAAGATCAATGTGCACATTCTGCCCAGTGTGCAGACTGGCCCTAAGATCAAACCCACAGTCAGGAAGCAGGCTGAAAAAATGAGGGTGGAAAAAAATCTAAACTAAAAAGCTACCTCGGAGACAAGAATTTTTAAAAAAAAATTTGGGGGTGGTGGTGAAAACACT